CACGATCCATCGCCGCCCTTGGCGCCTGGCCCTCGGGTGGCCCGTTGGGGGCTTCTCGCCTGAGACCCCAAGTCTCGGAAGGCGGCTGCCCCCCGGCCTGCCCCCCTCACCCCCGGGGCCCTGTCCTAGGACTACGAAGAGGATGAGGAAGAGGAGGACGACGATGAAGATGACACGGGGATGGGAGACGAGGGGGAGGACAGCAACGAGGGCACCGGGAGTGCGGACGGCAACGACGGCTACGAGGCCGATGACGCCGAGGTAAGCTAGCGTGTGCGTGCTGTGAATGAAGAACTTGAGAAGGGGTGTGTGTGTGTCTGGCTTTCTGGGTCCCAGCCGGCAATGCTCAGGGCTGACTCCCGGCTCTGCGCTCAGGGATCACTCAGGGGACCTGAGGGGATGCGGGGGATCGAACCCGGGTCGGCCGCGTGCCAGGCCAACGCCCTCCCCGCTGTGCTATGGCTCTGGCTCCCTGTCGTTGTTTTTCAAGAAAACTCGGAGAGGCCAGAGAGACGGTCCAGGGCTTCGGTCCAATCCCCGAGTCCCTCCAGAGCAGTCGTAAGAACCAACGCGCCCGAGTGGGGTCCCTGCGCTGACCGTCTGTCCTGTCCCCCAGGGTGGAGGCGGCACGGACCCCGGCACGGAGACGGAGGAGAGCCTGGGCGGCGGCGGCGAGAGCAACCAGCGGGCAGCCGACTCCCAGCACTGCGGTGAGGCGCTGCCCGGCCCGGCCCGGCCCCTGCGCGCAGCTGCGTCCTGGATGCCAGCCCCCAATAAAGCTCCTTCGGGCGGGTCCCACCCCTGGGCTGTGTCGCGCGTCTCCTGGCCCCCTCGGCCGGGCGATGAGCTCGGGCGCCATCACCTCGAGGACGGGTGACTCACGGCTGGTTCTTGGATTGGGTTTTGGTTCCGAGTCTTTTTTTGTTTGTTGGATTCTTGTTTTTGTGTTTTGGGTCACGCCCGGCCAGGCTCAGGACTTAGGGGGGTTCAGCACTCAGGACTCACTCCTGGCGGAGCTCAGGGGTCCCTGGGGGTACAGGGGTGGGGCCTCCCCGCTGCCCTCGGGCTCCAGTCCCAACCAACCATAAAGACCTTTTTTAAGTGGAAAGAGGGAGCTGGGGACGCGTCCCTGCAGTCAGGCACAGGGGCTCGTCTGGCTTCCGGGGTTTGTGGGCGTTGCCACTGGCTGCAGGTCCCAGCGAGTCGTCCGCCCCGGGGGCTGTGAGGTGGGGCCGTCCCGGGCCGTCCTGTCACTGACCCTCTGCCGGCAGCCTGGGGGGGGGGGGGCGCGGGGTCACCGTGGGCTTCTCATCCCCCCTGCAGGTGACGGGGCCTCCGCCGAGGCCGCCTTCGCCCAGGACGCGCCCCGAGAGCAGCAGCCGTCCTCCGCCTCAGAGAGGCAGGCGCCCCGCGCCCCCCAGTCTCCCCGCCGGCCGCCGCACCCGCTGCCCCCGCGCCTCACCATCCACGCGCCCCCCCAGGAGCTGGGGCCGCCCGTCCAGGTACTCTCACCCCCCCCCCCAGAGCACATGGGTCGGTTCTGGCGTCTCAGAAGGAGCCTTGATGGCTCTGTGTGTGTGTGTGTGTGGGGGGGGGGGGGTGCCTTCGCATGCATGTGGTGTGTACATGTGTGTGTGGATGCATGTGTGCGCCTGTGTGGTACATTCACGCACATGTGGTACATGTGTGTGCATGCGCGTCTGTTCATGTGATGGTGCGTTTGTGCACATGTGGGGTGTGTGCTTGTGTGCGCATGTGTTGCATATGTGTGCCCGCGTGTGTGCTCGTGTGTGGTGCGTTCGTGCACGTGGGGGTAGGTGCATGTGTGGTGTGCGTGTGTGCACGCGTGTGCGTGTCCCGCCGCCCGTCTCCCTAACGCAGCTGCGTCTCTCGTTGCCCAGAGGATCCAGATGACGCGCCGGCAGTCGGTGGGACGCGGGCTGCAGCTGACCCCGGGCATCGGCGGTGTGGTAGGCGGCCCGTGGGGGAGGGGGTGGGCGCCCTGTCCGTGCTCCCCTCCCCACCCCCCGCGGCCGCTCAGCTCCTCCTTCCGGCCTCCTCTCAGCAGCAGCACTTCTTTGACGACGAGGACAGGACCGTCCCCAGCACCCCGACTCTGGTGGTCCCGCACCGCACGGATGGGTTCGCCGAGGCCATTCAGTGAGTCCCGGGGCGGGAGGCGCGTTTGGGGGCCGACGCTGCTCCCACCGCCTGGCGAGTGTCTGTCCATGGCCGACCCCCTTTCCCCCCGGGCCTTTCTCGTGCACGGGGGTCCCGAAGTGGGCTCGGTACATGCGGCCCGGCCGCTGGGGAGGCGTGTCGCCCGCGTGCGGGTCGTGGTGTGGCGTGACGCCCACTGTCCCCTCCTTCCCGGGGCTCCCCAGGACATGGGGAGGACGTTTCCTCCGTCCGCGCTCGCCCTGGTTCCCCTTGACCCTCCCCCCCGTGGCTCGAGGCGGCGGGTCGGGGTCTCATCGTGGTTCCTCCTCCCCCCTGTTAGTTCCCCACAGGTGGCCGGTGTCCCTCGGTTCCGGTTCGGGCCGCCCGAGGACATGCCGCAGACAAGCTCCAGCCACTCGGACCTGGGCCAGCTGGCCTCGCAGGGAGGTGGGTGCCGGGAGCGTCCCAGGGGACCGGGGGCCTGGCTGGGCCCGTCCCTCTCTGCCGTGCCGTGCTCTGAGCTCGGGTGCGCGTGCGTCTGTCTGTGTTGCTTCCCTGCCAAGTTGCCCGGGGGGCTCCCGGCTGTGCGTCGAGCCTGATTCCTGCGGGCGTGGCCCTCCTTGCTGTCCGCGAACTCCCGGCGAGGGGCCCAGGAGACCAGCCCGAGCCCCAGCCCGCTGACCCTGGGAGGGGCCGGAAAGCAGGGGGGCCCGGGAGGGCGTTTTCCTCTCTGCTCTTTCTGAGTTGAGCCTTGCGTAGCTGTGCCCCGTCCGTCCAGAAGGTGGCGCCGTGGCTGCACCCTGAGCTGGGGGCCGGCTGTGGCCACAGCCTGTCCACCCCCCTCAGCTGCCCAGGACACGGGCTTCCCTGGGGCCGGCCCTGGAGACGGCCGCCTTCTGGACCTCAGCTGGGTCAGGGCGAGCCTTGACCACCCCGGCTGCCCAGCCCCCGCTGACCTCCGCCCCGTCCCCGTCCAGGCCTGGGCATGTACGAGACGCCCCTCTTCCTGGCCCATGAGGAGGAGTCCGGCGGCCGCAGTGTCCCCACCACACCGCTGCAGGCGGCGGCCCCAGGTGGGTACGACCCAGGCGCGGCGTCGGCGGGTGGGCCAGGCGGGGCCGGGTGGGCACTGGCCGCCTCTCTCTCCGCCCTGCAGTGAGCGTGTTCGCCGAGAGCGCCGCCGACGCCTCTGAGCCTGCCTCCCAGTCCGTCCCCATGGTCACCACGTCCACCGGCCCCTTGTCCTCCAGCCACGAGAGCCCGGCGGGCGACGACGGGGACGAGGTCTTCGTGGAGGCCGAGTCCGAGGGGTAAGTGCCGGCCGGAGTCCTGTGCTGCTTTGGGTTCTGGAAGGTTCCAGAAGGTTCCCGAAGGCTCTGGAAGGTTCTGGGCTTGCCGGGTCTGCGTGAGACGGGGCTGGCCTGTGTGCGACAGCCTGGGTCTCCTGTTCCCGCTGAGTTCCGGGGAGCCTGGTTCTCCTGACAGAGGAGCTAGGCCGAGTGTGTGTGGGCAGATGCCGGGCTGGGGCGGGGCGGGGGGGTCCCAGGGCCGTGGATTTCGCACGTGAGCCCGCGGGGGGTGGTCAGGGAAGGAGGGACAGGCCCGGCCCGTTGGAGAGACACGGGCCTGGCGTCTGGGTCCCGGGTCAGCCCGGAACGGCTCGGGGACGTTGCCCGGTCCCGTCTCCTGCCCACAGGCTGAGCTCGGAGGCCGGCCTGGAGGTGGACAGCCAGCAGGAGGAGGAGCCCGCACCCGCCTCCGACGAGGCCGACCTGCCCTCCACCAGCCAGGATCCCCCGTCCAGCTCCTCCGTGGGTGAGTGCGGGGGCCCAGCGTGTCGGGTGGGCAGTGGACAAGACACGCACACATAACGCACATTCCCATGATATACGCACTGTAACACACATCCTCTCACACACACACACCCTTATATGTGCGCGTACACACACTGTCTCTCGCGCACACGCACACACACACACACACACACACACACACAGCATGGGTACCCCCATCCCTGAGCTTGCTGAAGTGAGGCAGGTGTGTGTGTGTGTCTGTGTCTGTGTCTCTGTGTGTGGTGTGTCTATTCTGTGTGTGTGTGTGTGCGCGCGTGCGCGCCAGGCAGCTTAAGGCCCAGGGTCTGAGCAACCCCTGCCCACAGACACCAGTGGTGTGTGTGTCTGTGTGTGTGTGTGTGTCTGTGTGTCTGTGTGTGCGCGCGCGCACACACCAGGCCGCCTGAGGCCCAGGTCTGAGTGCCCCCTGCCTGCCCGCAGACGCCAGCAGCAGCCAGCCCAAGCCCTTCCGGCGCGTGCGGCTCCAGACCACGCTGAGACCCGGCGTCCGCGGCCGCCAGTTCAACCGGCAGAGAGGTGAGCGCAGGGGCGGGGGGGGCGTGTTGCTCGGGCCCAGTGCTCTCAGCTGGCATCCCCGGGCCTCGGGCCGGAGTAAGCTTTCTGGTCTTTTTTCTGCTTTCTGCATTTAACGTCCTTAAATATATCAAAAGTCCTGACGTTCTCTGAAGCCACCACCAGAGCCTGCGTTTCGTCAGGTTTTGGCTGTGACAAATGATTTCTGTCAGACGCAAAAGTACCCAGGTTTTGCCTCCCCGACTTCCAAAATTCTGTCCCGGGCCCTGGGGAGGGGCCTCCCGGGGCCCAGCGTGGCAGCTGCGGGGCCGTTCACCTGGGCCCCTCTTCCCTCCTGCAGGTGTGAGCCACGCCGTGGGAGGGCGCGGCGGGATCAACAGGGGCCACGTCAGCTGAGGGCCCCGTCGGATGTGGCCGCCGGGAAGGACACGGGTCCAGTGTGCGTGAACGAGCGTCGCGTCGACAGAGATTTTTCTATTTAACCCCGTTTGCTCATCTCATCAACACCCTTTATTAATAAAACATGTTTCAGTGTCAGACATGGGATCCTTTTTTCTTTTTTTTTTAATCTTCCTTTTCCTCCTTCCTCCGTAGCCGCCAAGCCGCCTCTCCCTGCCTGAGGGCTCAGGGACAGTTGTACCAGGCCTTGGAGAGCGTCTGCCCGGGGCGGGTGACGACGGCGCGCGCCGTCCGGCTGGCCAGGTCAATGTTGTAGGATTGATCTGGGTGGGAGAAAAGCGTCTTTAGTGGGGAGAACGCAAAAGCTCACACATGAAAAAAAAAAAAAAAAAGAATTTCCTCAGTCACTGGTGCTGGAAAACTATCATTTCAGTGCCCGAGGTATTTGCAGGAATCTGAAGGGACACGGGGTAAACTATGGCCTTGACCTGGTTCTTTTGTTTTTTTTTTTTTTTTTTTGCTCTTTTTGGATTCCACCCGGCGATGCTCAGGGCTGACTCCTGGCTCTGCACTCAGGAATTACTCCTGGCGGCGCTCAGGGGTCCCTATGGGATGCTGGGGATCGAACCCGGGTCGGCCGTGTGCAAGGCAAACGCCCTCCCCACTGTGCTATCGCTCCAGCCCCTCACATCATCATTATTGTTATTATTTATTATTATTATTATTTTGGGGTCCCACTGGCTATGCTCAGGGCTGACTCCCGGCTCTGCACTCAGGAATTACTCCTGGCGGCGTTCAGGGGACCCCATGGGATCATGGGACTCGAACTCAGGTCGGCCGCGTGCAAGGCAAAAACGCCCTCCCGGCTGTGCTATCGCTCCAGCCCCAAGCTCCAGCTTTTCCGACAAAAAAGGCTTCCCCAGAAATACTCTGCTTCTCCTCTAGAACTTGGTTCTGATCTTCACTCCAGCCTGGCCTGCTCCTTGTCCAGCGAACGGGGGCAGAGCACTGTTTAAGGAGTACTCCCGCCCCCGAGAACTTTTACCTCGATGGGCTTGCTGGGGAGAGGAATTGGGACTAGGGTTGGTTCCATTTCACCGGAAGGAGCGAGGGAGAGCTCTAACCACCCGGGAGAGGCTGAGGGGCGTGGGCCGCCGCGTCATCCACTCACCCTTGGAGAAGGCGTAGTAGTTGTAGCCGTCCGGCTGCCTCAGGCTGGGCAGGGCCACGGCAGAGGTCACGGCCGAGGGGAGCCCTCTCCACAGGCTGCTCAGTTTGACTTCATTATGGAGGAAGCCTGTCAGGAAAACGGCCGTCGGGGGTCTCAGACGGAGGCGGAGGGACTGTCCTGAGGGGAGGACACTTGGCCGCGGACGCCCCAGACCCCAGCCCGGATGGACCTCCACCGGGAGTGAGACCCAAGTGCAGAGCCCTGAGCACTGCCGCCGGGTGAGACCCCCAAACCCAGCACCTCGTCAGCCAGACCGGGAGTTAGTTCCTTCAGCTCAGCCGTTTCCGCTCCTGACCAGGTGTGAACCTGCCCTTTGGTGGGCTGACAGGTTCTCAGTTACGGGCCTCAATGAGGGTTTTTTTTTTTTTGGCTTTTTGGGTACCACCCAGCAATGCTCAAGGCTGACTCCCGGCTCTGCACTCAGGGATCACTCCTGGCGGTGCTCAGGGGACCCTGTGGGATGCCGGGAATCGAACCCGGGTCGGCTGTGTGCAAGGCAAACGCCCTCCCCGCTGTGCTATGGCTCCAGCCCCTCCCATTATTATTATTATTATTATTATTATTATTGGGTCCCGCTGGCAATGCTCAGGGCTGACTCCTGGCTCTGCACTCAGGAATCACTCCTGGCAGTGCTCGGGGGACCCTATGGGATGCCGGGGATCGAACCTGGGTCGGCTGCGTGCAAGGCAAACGCCCCACCCACTGTGCTATGGCTCCAGCCCCTCACATTTTTTTATTATTATTATTTGCCTGCACAGCAGAGCCTGGCAAACTCCCCGTGGCGTATTCAATATGCCAAACACAGTAATAAGTCTCACGATGGAGACGTTACTGGGCCCGCTGGAGCAAATCGATGAACAACGGGAGGACCGTGACCGTGATCATTATTACTATTATTATTTTTGGGTCCACTGGCGTTGCTCAGGGCTGACTCCCGGCTCTGCACTCAGGGATCACTCCTGGCAGTGCTCAGGGGACCCAATGGGATGCCGGATATCAAACCCGGGTTGGCTGTGTGCCAGGCCAATGCCCTCCCCGCTGTGCTATTGCTCCAGCCCCTATGGATGGATCAGATATTGATCAAGGTGCTGAACTGGGTGATGGACCAGATTATTATTATTATTATTATTGTTATCTTGCTTTTTGGGTCCCACCCAGCGATGCGCAGAGCTGACTCCTGGCTCTGCACTCAGAAATCACTCCTGGCGGTGCTCCGGGGACCCTAGGGGATGCCGGGGATCGAACCCGGTTCGGCTGCGTGCCAGGCCAATGCCCTCCTCGCTGTGCTATGGCTCCAGCCCCTCCCATTATTATTATTATTATTTTAAATTATTATTATTATTGGGTCCCACTGGCGATGCTCAGGGCTGACTCCTGACTCTGCACTCAGGAAATCACTCCTGGTGGTGCTCGGGGGACCCTAGGGGATGCCGGGGATTCCGGAAAGTGAATTGATTCTTCACTGCGGCAAATTGATGGTTTTTGTCAACGAACCACCTGAAGTGTGAGGGTGAAGGTGTCTTGGTTAGTTGCCACACCTGACTGTGTCGAGGCTGACACCCGGCTCTGCACTCGGCAATCCCTCTTGGCGGTCACTCCTGCTCAGAGACCGTCTGGAAGGCCGGGGACCGACGCCCAGCCCAGCGTGTGTGCAAGGCCGGCCCTCTCCCCGCCGGCCCCTCGTGGCTGCGGTCCCACGTGGAAGGAGGCTTGCTGGGGAAGAACCGTTACCTTTGTCCTGGTAAGTGACGCGCGCGGGGGCGTAGTGGATCCTAATGGTGTGGGTCTGGGCTGGGACGAGGGCCCTCTCAAAGCGCCGCCTCCGGACCTGGGCCATCTGCCCGTACACCGAGTAGTTGACGGGGGCCCTTCTCCGCGAGCACTTGCTGACAGGCTCCTGTTTGTACGTGTACTGCTGGACGCCGCCGCCTGAGCAGGCGGAGAGAGAGGTAGGAGAGAGACAGACAGAGAGAGAGCTTCATCAGACTCCCCCCAGGATGGCGAAAACAGCCCCCAGACTCCTAAGACAGGCTCAGACTCGAGGAAGCCTCTTTATAACCCAGTCCTGACGTCCTTGCTGGAGAAAGCCAACACTTGGGGCTGGAACGATAGCACAGCGGGGAGGGCGCTGGCCTGGCACGCGGCCGACCCAGGTTCGATCCCCGGCATCCCCTAGGGTCCCCCGAGCACCGCCAGGAGTGATCCCTGAGTGCAGAGCCGGGAGTCAGCCCTGAGCATTGCCGGGTGGAACCCCAAAAAGCCAAAAGAAGAATAAAATAAAGCAAGCCAATAGTGCTTCGTGCTAAGGTTGACTCTGAAACCCACGATGTCCTTTATACCAACAGCTCATGGAACTGGTTTCCATGTGGACAGAGGGAAATAACTTCTACCTACCCTCAATTGTTATTTTTTGTTTGTTTTTGCTTTGGTCAGTTGATTTTTTTTTGTTTGATTGGGTTTTCTTTGCTTGATTTTTGGGTCCCACCCGGCAATGCTCAGAGCTGACTCCTGGCTCTGCACTCAGGAATCACTCCTGGCGGTGCTCAGAGGACCCTGTGGGATGCCGGGGATCAAGCCCAGGTGAGCTGCGTATAAGGCAAACGCCCTGCCCATTGTACTGTTGCTCCAGCCCCCAATTTGTGTTTGAAAATGTTTTATTCCAGCCGAGAACATCTCAAAATTTTTTTTTTTGGATTTTTGGGCCACACTCGGCGATGCTCAGGGCTGACTCCTGGCTCTGCACTCAGGAATCACTCCTGGTGGGGCTCGGGGGACCCTATGGGATGCCGAGGATTGAACCCAGGTCGGCCGCGTGCCAGGCAAACGCCCTCCCCGCTGTGCTATCACTCTAGCTCCACATCTTTTTTTTTTTTGCTTTTTGGGTCACACCCGGCGATGCTCAGGGGTTACTCCTGGCTCTGCCCTCAGGAGTTACTCCTGGCAGTGCTCAGGGGACCATATGGGATGCTGGGAATCGAACCCAAGTCGGCTGCATGCAAGGCCAACGCCCTCCCCACTGTGCTATGGCTCCAGCCCCACATCTTACAACTTAATCCCAGCAGTCAATCAAAGTGTTGGGTAAAGTTTCCCAAGCAAGTCTACTGGAAGTCTCATTTCTCTGTCCATTATTTCCAGAAGTCACGGCCCCTGGCGCGGCTCCTACCTCTCTTGAAGAAATACACGGATTCAGGTCTGTTCTTGTATCTCGCCACCGAGAGCGCGGCCACGATCTTCCCGTTAAGCCCTCCAAACCCTTTCGAGATGGGCTTGGGGTACCCTGGGTCTCTGACATCATTGGTGAATCGCCAGTACTGAGAGTCCTGGTGGGTTCAAAGAAAAACGTTACATTTTTGAGAAGAAAAAATGATTATTAGGAAATCCATACTTTTTATTTTTCTTTCTGATCCCACCCGGCGATGCTCAGGGCAAACTCCTGGCTCTGCACTCAGGAATCGCTCCTGGCGGTGCTCGGGGGACCCTAGGGGATGCTGGGGATCGAACCCGGGTCGGCCACGTGCAAGGCCAACGCCCTCCCTGCTTAATACAGGGGGAACGTCTTAAAGTTTAATTAAACGTTGGAATAAGTAGATCGATTTGTCATCACATTCAATGAAACTTTCCACTTTGATGAGAATTAATTCCATTAGTTCTGAAGTCTGAACACCAAATGCTAATTTCCGATTATTGCTTTCAGCAGTGCTCAGGGATCCCGCCTGGCTCTATGCTCGGGTCTGACTCCCGGCTCTGTGCTCAGGGCTTACTCCCGGCTCTGTGCTCAGGGCTGACTCTTGCCTCTGTGCTCAGGGCTGACTCCTGGCTCTGTGCTCAGGGCTGACTCCTGGCTCTGTGCTCAGGGCTTACTCCCGGCTCTGTGCTCAGGGCTGATTCCCGGCAGTGCTCAGGGCTGACTCTTGCCTCTGTGCTCAGGGCTGACTCCCGGCTCTGTGCTAAGGGCTCCCGCCTGGCTCTGTGCTCGGGGCTGACTCCCGGCTCTGTGCTCAGGGCTGACTCCCGGAAGTGCTCAGGGCTGACTCTTGCCTCTGTGCTCAGGGCTGACTCCTGGCTCTGTGCTAAGGGCTCCCTCCTGGCTCTGTGCTCAGGGCTGACTCCCGGAAGTGCTCAGGGCTGACTCTTGCCTCTGTGCTCAGGGCTGACTCCTGGCTCTGTGCTAAGGGCTCCCTCCTGGCTCTGTGCTCAGGGCTGACTCCCGGCAGTGCTCAGGGCTGACTCTTACCTCTGTGCTCAGGGCTGACTCCTGGCTCTGTGCTAAGGGCTCCCTCCTGGCTCTGTGCTCAGGGCTGACTCCCGGCAGTGCTCAGGGCTGACTCTTGCCTCTGTGCTCAGGGCTGACTCCCGGCTCTGTGCTCAGGGCTTACTCCCGGCTCTGTGCTCAGGGCTGATTCCCGGCAGTGCTCAGGGCTGACTCTTGCCTCTGTGCTCAGGGCTGACTCCCGGCTCTGTGCTAAGGGCTCCCTCCTGGCTCTGTGCTCAGGGCTGACTCCTGGCTCTGTGCTCAGGGCTTACTCCCGGCTCTGTGCTCAGGGCTGATTCCCGGCAGTGCTCAGGGCTGACTCTTGCCTCTGTGCTCAGGGCTGACTCCCGGCTCTGTGCTAAGGGCTCCCTCCTGGCTCTGTGCTCAGGGCTGACTCCCGGCAGTGCTCAGGGCTGACTCTTGCCTCTGTGCTCAGGGCTGACTCCTGGCTCTGTGCTAAGGGCTCCCTCCTGGCTCTGTGCTCAGGGCTGACTCCTGGCTCTGTGCTCAGGGCTTACTCCCGGCTCTGTGCTCAGGGCTGATTCCCGGCAGTGCTCAGGGCTGACTCTTGCCTCTGTGCTCAGGGCTGACTCCTGGCTCTGTGCTAAGGGCTCCCTCCTGGCTCTGTGCTCAGGGCTGACTCCCGGCAGTGCTCAGGGCTGACTCTTGCCTCCGTGCTCAGGGCTGACTCCCGGCTCTGTGCTAAGGGCTCCCTCCTGGCTCTGTGCTCAGGGCTGACTCCTGGCTCTGTGCTCAGGGCTCCCTCCTGGCTCTGTGCTCAGGGCTGACTCCTGGCTCTGTGCTCAGGGCTCCCTCCTGGCTCTGTGCTCAGGGCTGACTCCTGGCTCTGTGCTCAGGGCTTACTCCCAGCTCTGTGCTCAGGGCTGACTCCTGGCTCAGTGCTCAGGGCTGACCCCTGGCTCAGGGCTGACTCCTGGCTCTGTGCTCAGGACTGACTCCCAGATCAGTGCTCAGGGCTGACTCCTGGTTCTGTGTTCAGGGCTGACTCCCGGCTCTGTGCTCAGGGCTGACTCCCAGCTCTGTGCTCAGGTCCTGGTGGTGCTTATGTGGTGCCGGGAGCAGTTACATGCAGGGCCAGTGCTTTCCTCACCCCTGCAACCATCTCTGGCCCAAAAGCTGGTTTTCTTACCTTAAAGAAGTAAGTTTTCCCGTCACAGTTGCACCTGGTGAAAGCAGTGTCTATGGGGGAGGGGATACCCCAGACCTCCGTGATCCTCCGGGCCGGGGAGGGGGGACTTTGGGGCCGCAGCATCCAGAAGTAATGACCTGAAACCGCAAGTCGACGTCACCTCGAGCCCAGCCGCGGGCCGAGCCCAGCCCTGCTGCCCCAGACGCGGTGCACACGGCACCCCGGGGCAAATTGGACATTTGCCGAGAACCCTCGGGACGCTTGACTGCGTGGAAGTTTCTGGAACCTGGCCACGCGGACCCCAGTGTGCAAACAGAGCCCAGATGCCTCCTATGGGTGGAATCGACGACCCCCTTTGGCCTCCTTGGGGTAGGGGCAGCTCAGAACTGTCGGGTCCAGCTCCAGTTCCCTTTGTGGCTTTTGGGGGGCCACAGCGGGGCTCACAGCCAGCGATGCTCAGAGGCCACTCCTGGCAGTGCTCAGGGGTGCTGAATCGAACCCAAGTCAGCTGCATGCGAGACTACTTTCACTCTGCCCGGCGCCTTTCCGTCTGTCTGGGGGTCAACAGCGGCGGTACTTACTCCTGGCTCTGCACTCAGGGGTCCCTCCTGGTGGGGTGGGCGGGCCCAGAGGGGACGCCTCGGACCCATCCTGGGATGCAAACGCCCTCCCCTCTGGACTGTCTCTCCAGCCCCTGGCTCTGGTTCTTTTAACGTGCATATCTTTTTTTTTTTTCTTTTTGGGCCACACCTGGTGATGCTCAGGGCTGAGTCCCGGCTCTGCACTCAGGAATCACTCCTGGCGGGGCTCAGGAAATGCCGGGGATTGAACCCAGGTCAGCCACATGCAAGGCAAACGCCCTCCCCGCTGTGCTATCACTCTAGCACCATTTAAAACTATATATATATTTTTTATTTTTCTTTTCGGGTCCCACCTGGCAATGTTCGGGGCTGACTCCTGGCTCTGCACTCAGGGATCACTCCTGGCAGTGCTCGGGGGGACCCTGTGGGATTCTGGGGATCGAATCCAGGTCGGACACATGCAAGGCAAACGCCCTCCCCGCTGTACCATCACTCCAGCCCCTAACGGGCGTCTCTAATGTCATGCCAGTGTTGGGTTGTGACTGGGTCCCCTCGATCCTGCGTCAGGGGCTGTCAGCCAGCCCCCTCTGAAAGGCTTCCCCCTACCTCCAGGTCCCCAACCACCCACCCAAGATCAAGGGCACACATGTCTCACCTCGGAAGGCCACCAGAGTCCCATTGCGCAGGGTGGTCAGGGCGTCCACGGGCTGGCCGTTGCACAGATTGGTCTCGTCTGGAAGCAGAAGGCAGATGTCACCGGGCAGGCAAACGGGGGCAGGGCTGGGGGGCTGAAACTCCTCCCAGCGCCCAGACCCTCTTGCTGTTCTCGTTCCCACCATCTCCCCGCTCTCCAGAGGGCTCCATAGAGGAGGTGTGTGCAGGGCCAGGCAGGGGACAGGGGAGCAAGGGGTCTCACTTTGGGGCGTGTCACCCAGAAGATGGCGACGCCCCAAGACCAAGCCGCTCCTGGCATCTGCTAACCTGGTCTCCACAGCAACCAGCCCGTTCGTGGCAGAATTCGCCCACTCCCGGTTCTGACGGGGATTCTTTGGGCCGGCTCCGGGGAGGAAAGTCCAAGTCCCGGGTTTTAAGTGGCTTGGCCTTGTCCTCCTGGGAGTAGGACGCAGCTAAACGCGCCCTCCACGCCGGGTCAGGCCTCCCTCACCGGCCTCGTGGGAAGTCGAGGTGCTGGGCCCTCCGGAGTCTAAGTCCGGGTGCCCTTGAGGGTCTTGAGACCCTCCTTACCTGCGAGCATGGGGTTGACGGGGACTCGCCCTATGAGACCACTCCCTGCTGCGCCGATGGGTGACAGCACAGGGCCACCGGGGGCCACGGCCTCATCCTCACTGCTGGGTGCACTGTCCACAGCAGGCGTGGGGGCCAGGATGGTGGGCAGCTCGGCCGGTGTGGTGCTGGGGGTGGTGGTTATCTCGGCCGGTGTGGTGCTGGGGGTGGTGGTTATCTCGGCCGGCGTGGTGCTGGGTGTTGTGGGCAGCTCAGCAGGCGTGGTGCTGGCAGTGGTGGTCTTCACAGCGGCAGGGGTGGTCTTTGGTCTCTTCCTCCTGGGCTTCCTGGTGGCCCCCGGCTTCCTGGGGGCCTTGGTGGGCTTCTTGGGCTTCAGCGTTGTGGTCTCTGGTTCGTCGGCTGGGTCTTCAGGCGCGGGCGTGGGGTCCTCGGGCTTGTCCACGGCTTCGGTCGGCTCCGGGGGGCCCTTCGGGGTAGGGGCAGCTGGAGAGGGGGTGGTGGGTTCTGGCTCTTTGGGGGTTGTTGGTTCTGGTTCTTTGGGAGTGGTGGGTTCTGGCTTTTTGGGGGTGGTTGGTTCTGGTTCTTTGGGGGTTGTTGGTTCTGGTTTTTTAGGGGTTGTGGGTTCTGGTTCTTTGGGGGTTGTTGGTTCTGGTTCTTTGGGAGTGGTTGGTTCTGGTTCTTTAGGGGTGGTTGGTTCTGGTTCTTTAGGGGTGGTTGGTTCTAATTCTTTGGGAGTGGTTGGTTTTGGTTCTTTAGGGGTGGTTGGTTCTGGTTCTTTGGGAGTGGTTGGTTCTGGTTCCTTGGGAGTGGTTGGTTCTGGTTCTTTGGGGGTTGTTGGTTCTGGTTCTTTGGGGGTTGTTGGTTCTGGTTCTTTGGGGGTTGTTGGTTCTGGTTTTTTAGGGGTTGTGGGTTCTGGTTCTTTGGTGGTTGTTGGTTCTGGTTCTTTGGGAGTGGTTGGTTCTGGTTCTTTGGGGGTTGTTGGTTCTGGTTCTTTGGGGGTTGTAGGTTCTGGTTTTTTAGGGGTTGTAGGTTCTGGTTCTTTGGGCGTGGTTGGTTCTGGTTCTTTGGGGGTTGTAGGTTCTGGTTCTTTGGGAGTTGTAGGTTCTGGTTCTTTGGGGGTTGTTGGTTCTGGTTCTTTGGGGGTTGTAGGTTCTGGTTTTTTAGGGGTTGTAGGTTCTGGTTCTTTGGGCGTGGTTGGTTCTGGTTCTTTGGGGGTTGTAGGTTCTGGTTCTTTGGGAGTTGTAGGTTCTGGTTCTTTGGGGGTTGTTGGTTCTGGTTCTTTGGGGGTGGTGGGTTCCGGTTCTTTGGGCGTGGTTGGTTCTGGTTCTTTGGGGGTGGTGGGTTCCGGTTCTTTGGGCGTGGTTGGTTCTGGTTCTTTGGGGGTGGTGGGTTCCGGTTCTTTAGGGGTTGTGGGTTCTGGTTTTTTGGGGGTGGTTGGTTCTGGTTCTTTGCTGGTGGTGGGTGCTGGGGGCTTGGTTGTGGTCCCAGCCTCGGGCACGGGCTCCGTGGGGGCCTCGGGGTCCTTGTCCGCGCTCCGCGTCTCCTTGGCCGAGGTCTTCTTCTCTGTCTTGCTGGCCGACGTCTCCTTCTTGGCCGTGGACTTCTCCTCGGTCTCCACCTTGGTCTCCGTCAAGGATATTTCTTCAGCTGCATCAGGCGGGGGGGTGGGTTTGGCGTCTGCCGGCTTCTCGGCTGTGGGCTTGGGGGCGGGGGGCGTCACTTTGCCAGGAGTTGGGGGGACGTTGTCCAGCCCGCTGCCAGCTTCATCCCCAGTGGGTTTCTCCGGAGGGGGCTTCTTCTCCGGAGTTTTCTTCTCTTCGGCTAGAGGAAGAGAGAAAGAGTGTTTACCTCGGCATCAATCTTTCCTTCCTTGGGGCACATAGATGCAACCTCCCCAGTGACAGGCTCCGGAGTCCCTCAGCAAAGGGCTATTCGTTTCTTGGAAAGGGACATTTCCACCCATCCTAGGGAATACAGAAGGGGTGGCAAGAAAGAATTCTCTAGAACCAAGCACCCGGGGCAATTGCAACTGTGCTGAGTGGCACTGAATTCAGGAATCTTCCCGCTTTCCACCCTAAACCAGCAGGGCTGCCTGGGTGGTCTTCCCCTGGGGACTTTCCCATTTACCTGCTTCGAGCTCCCCCTAGTGTAGACAAGGAATCCACTTAGCACCCCTCCCTCCCGTGTTCCTGCGAGAATACCCACTCACCCACCCACCCCCAAAACTCAGGGGTCCCAGGTGGAAGGGGAATGGAGATCAGGGTGCTGAGACACCCCAAAGGGTTCCCAGCTCACAAATGACACCCCAGCGAGACAGCCCCCCTAAGAGCCAGGCGTAAGGGGCGCCCCGCTTCTATACAAGTCTGGGGGGCCTCAAAGACTAAAGAACCAGCTTCTGATCCTAGGCAGAGACACTTGAAACTCCATCCTCCAAAAGCCAGTGTCCCCTGTATGGATGGGGCAGTGAGTGGGTCTCGGGACTCAAAACTCCCCAGGTCCCTGGTTTGTCCTCCTCACAGGCGGATCATTTCTTTGCACCTATTTCTTTGTGCATTGGTTCTTCTTGCTCTAGCGGAGAGAGGCAGCTGGATACAGCATGTACTTTGTTAGAAAAAATATGGGCATTGGGCCAGTCGCGTAGAGATCAAGAGTTTTGCTTTCCCGAGGAGCTGAATGAGAGCGTAACATCTCAAAGCATTCAGAAAAGCATAGGAATGCTTGTTTCTCCTCGAAGAAGAGGTAGGAGACAGAAATGGCATCGGGTGGGCAAGAACTCAAAGAGAAAACCCCCCAGTAACCCTCACAGGCGCGTCCTCTCTCTCCGAAGTTGCAAGAAGATGGAACATCTTCTTGTCCTTGGCTCTGAAATCTGTTTAGCATCAACGTCCTAACCCATTAGCCTCTTCGAAAATCACTGCTCTAAAGTTCAACCCCCCACACACACACCCCAACCACACTGGAGGGTTCCTCAAAGAGGCAACGTCGATCCCACCGAGGGTGCTGTGAGCCCGGCATTGATATAATCTCCGATCTGTATCAATGCTCAAACCTTTGGGGTTCTTCTTTAATTCTCTATTAGCGGCTGAATTTTTGGAAGACTTGACTTTCCGAATAGTTGAAGAGGAAGAGGAAGAGGAGGAGGAGGACTCCTGGTTTTCAGAAACAGAATGTTCTATAAATCAAACGAAAAGGTCGGTCACACCAGCTGTGGTTTAAAAAAAACACACACAAAAGAACCGCCATGCGAATACGACAAGAAACGCCTTGGACAAATTAATTGCCTTGTTGGCACTTGCTCGGACACAGGCTCGTGTTTAATTGTCGAGTGATAAGTTGTACGTGCACCGATGCTAGAAATAAAATCATCATCACTTTCGCTAACTCTCGGATCTTGTCATCTTTTTTGTTGTTGTTGTTGTTAAGAAACTCAAAAGTTTTAAAAAACAAGAATAAGATACCACAAGACGTGTTTGTGTTTCTTCTCATAATGGTTTGGTCCATACAGAAAATAGGTCGTGAGACTCACTTGGCCTGGAAATACGGAACCCAAACCATTATAACTGGTTCTGTTGGTCAAATGCAAAGAAATAAAAAAAATTTCAAAGCAAAGACCAAGAGACCACTGAGGTCCAGGGGTGCGGCGTGTGTGGCCCTAGGGCCACTCAGCGCCACAGCCCCTCTTCCTACCTTCCAATATCTCCTCTGATTCTAGCACTTTCTTAGTCTTCTTCTTGGGCGTTTTGGGTGAGCGTTTGGAGGTGGATTTCACGATTGGAGGCGTTTCCGGCGGCGTCTTGGGGGACGGCGGGGCTGTGGGGTTATGCACTGGGGCCAAGCGAGAAAGGTGAGTGAAAATGATATCGGGGTGCTTCCTCGGGGCCTGACCCAGCCCGGGGCTGGCCCCCACCTCTCCCACCAGAACCTTCCAGAACCCTCAGCTCTGGGTGATGCTGAGGGTGATAGCAGGAACTCCTGTCTGACCCTGCAAGAAGTGCCCGAGAAGATAAGGTTTTCCCCTGTCCTGGAACAAAATTTGTTTAAGGTTTGAGTCTTTTTTTTTTGAGGGGGAGGGGGTTGTCCCTACCCAATCGTGCTGGCGGGGGTGGGGGTGGGTTACTCCTGGCTCTCCACTCACTCCTAGAAGTGTTTGGGGGACCCTGTGGGATCGAACCCGGGTTAGCAGCATGCAAGCAGATGTCCTCCCCACCATACCACCTCCAACCTCCAACTCTACAAGTTTCTCTGCTCTTCTAGAACAGACGTTTCCTTTCTGCCCCAGAAAAAAAAATTTCGCCACCCCTAGAATAGAAGTTTACCTTCTGCTTTCAAACAGAAGTTTATTCCGGACAGTGTTTCCCAAAGGGGGTGCTCGGAGGACCCAGAGGGTACACTGCATGTTACATATTGAATAGATTACATATTCATATATTCCAATGTAGATGTCACATATATGTAACGTATGTATTATAAAAATATATAAATATATATTTTTCCTCTCTGTATAGGGGGATGTAGCCAAATCCATCTGAGAGTCTCAGTTCTGGAAGATTCTGAGGGGCTTGAGCCTGTGCTATGGGGGGGAGGGAGAATCTCCTTGTGCTGGGAGACCTTTTTTTTATTTTTATTTATTTAATTTTTTTTGCATTTTGGGTCCCACCTGGCGATGCTCAGGGCTAACTCCTAGCTCTGCACCCAGGAATCCCTCCTGGCGGTGCTCGGGGGACCCGAGGGGATGCCGGGGATCAACCGGGTTGGCCACGTGCATGCCAGGCCAACACCCTCCCCACTGTGCTATCACTCCAGCTCCGAGAGCTTTCTTCTTGAGAAATACAAATAATCCTGCGTTTTCCCGTGCTGTGAACATGCAGTGCCAATGTGTTGCCCAAGCTTCACGGAAATATTTGGTCCTGTATAAGCCCCACCCGGAGACACTGCTGCCCACTCTCCGGGTTAACCAGCGTTTAGCCTTTAAGCGCAATCGATTTGCTGATGTTTGGTTTGGGGGTTACATCCGGCTGTGCTCAGGGCTCACTCCCGGCTCTGTGCTCGGGGCTGGCTCCTGGCTCTGTGCTCGGGGCTGATTCCCGGCTCTGTGCTCAGGGCTCACTCCCAGCTCTGTGCTCAGGGCTGACCCCTGGCTCTGTGCTCAGAGCTGACTCCCAGCTCTGTGCTCAGGGCTCACTGCTGGTAGGGACCCTATGGGGTGAGGCCGGTCAGCCACATGCAAGGCCAGCTCTCTCCCCTCCTCCCCACTGTCCTGTCTCTCGGCCCCACCTCCAGCCCCAACCTTTGAACTTCTGCTGTCTGTGATGGTTAGTAAGAGTGGGATGAAGGGGAGGGGCTGGCAGAGTCAGGGGTGTGGGGAGGGGGAGGCCGGGGAAAGCCCCCCTGAGCACTTTCCAGACTCTCAGAACGAACCCTTCCCTCTCTCCCTAAACACACATGCCCAGAAAGGCTTCTCTCGGCTGTGGCAAAGGTCGGTGAGCCAAACCAGTGGCCCCCCCACAACCGCACACCCCAAACATCTCCCCTTATTTGGACCTTAGAATTCCTTCTGCTCCCCAGCTGGAAACTTCTCAGATACGGCGAGACCCACCGACTCGCTAAAGCAGTGCTCAGAGCACTGAGTCGAGAGTCAGGCGCAGCGTGGCGGCCCTGCCGGGAATTCTAAAAATCCCCACCGAGCCTGGATTATTCGGAGAGGTTGGGAAACTGCTGGGGGTCCCGGTGGCCTCCCTCACCCCCGCTGCCCTCGTGCTGGGTAAACACCCTCCTGCAGGGACCCTGCACCCCAGCCCGAGACCAACGGGGGATTGTCTCCGTCCGGCCACAGAGCTTTCCAGGGAAAACACGGCCGGGTCAGGAAGTGTCCCTGAGCCGTGCTGAGTCACAGTTTCCCCCGTGCCGCCTGGAGAGAAACCAGCCGCCCGGTCCAACGAGGTTATGCAAGCCCGCAGCCTGTCACACCCGGGCTGAGCGGGCACGCGGGAAGACCCAGAGCTCGGCTGGGCTGCGCCGCCAAGATTGGTGAATTTGGACTTTGCTTAGTCTCAAGCACGCCCTGAGGGGAGCCCAGGGGGCTCCTCTCTCCAGGACCCCAGCCCCTGGCAGGCGCCTCTGCTGCAGACTGCGGGAAAGAGGGCGCCAGGGCCAGGGGGAGGGTCCTCGCCCAGTGACCACTTCCTGCTGGGCGTCCACTTGGTGGTGCCCAAAACGCACTCTGAGCCGTCCCTAGTCCTTGGACAAGCCCAACTGTCAGCGGAGGGTCTGTGGGGACGAGTGCTGGCAGCTTGCCTGGGCGGGAGAGACAGTCCCAGGGAGCTGGACAGGTGCGCAGGGCCTCCAGATGGAGCACGAGCGCACGTGGGTCCCGGATGGGGCAGGAGCGCACGGGGGTCTCCATGGAGCAGGAGCGCGCATAGAGGTCCTGGATGGAGCAGGAGCGCTCAAGGGGGTCCCAGATGGAACAGGAGTGCGCGCGGGGGTCCCGGATGGGGCAGGAGCGCGCACAGGGGTCCCCACGGAGCAGGAGTGCACGAGGGTCTTGAATTAAGCAGGAGCGCGCACAGGGGTCCCGGATGGAGCAGGAGCGCGCACGGGGGTCCCGGATGGAGCAGGAGCGCGCACGGGGGTCCCGGATGAAATAGGAGCGCGGGCGTGCGGCGGGGCCTCACCTTCCTCGCAGAAGTCTTTGTAGTCGGGGCAGCACTTGCCGAACGTCTTGCACTGCGCGTCGCAGTCGCACTCCCGGCCGCGGGCGAAGGACTCGAAGCAGCGGCCCTTGCAGGACAGCTCTGGCCGGGGCAAAGGGGAGAGTCGCGGTCACAGACCCGCAGCGCCCCGCGTCGGCCTCGAACCCCCCCCCCCCCACTTCCTCCCATCCGCGTTCCCGGGGGAGGGGGCTGTCGCTGCCCAACCCCCCTCCTCCATCAGGTGGCCTGGCGAAGGTTGAGCTCTGCAGGGACCCTTGCCAGCTCGAGGTGGCCAGATTTCGTCCCCCTGCACCCACCACCCCGCACCTGCTTTGGAGTAGAAGGTGGTTGGTTGGCCTTGGGGTCCCGCAGCCCTGTAAGTCGTAGGACTAGGGAACCCGGTTCTTGGTCCCTCCCACCCCCAAGCCCAGGGGCGCCCAAACAGCATCCCTGGTGCATAAACGGACCTGCTGTGTGTATCAGCACGAACGCTGAGACCAACAGATTTTTTTTTTTTTGCTTTTTGGGGTCCCACCCGGCGATGCTCAGGGCTGACTCCTGGCTCTGCACTCAGGAGTTACTCCTGGCGGTGCTCAGGGGACCATATGGGATGCTGGGAATCGAACCCGGTCGGCCGCGTGCAAGGGAAATGCCCTACCCGCTATGCTAAGACCAACAGATCTTTAAGACGCCTTTCAGGTTTTTCCTGAGCTGCCTCTGTCTTAGTGTCTCCACCCCACGTGGCCTGTCGCAAAGGCTCCCTTGGGCCACTGAGGCTTCGCTTTGCAAGTTTTGCTCCTCTCCAGGGTCTCAGAGTAGGCAAAACTCTTCCTGGTGGGTTTGTTTTGGGGATAAGACAAAGGGTTCCCCAAGACGAAACAATTCCTCTGGGCCACTCAGGCAATAATTGCTTTTTCTGGGGGGGGGGGGTCACCAGAGAAGTGGACTGAGAGGAAGGTGCTTCTCTTACACGGACTGACCTGGGTTCAATCCCCGGCACCCCCTCCGACTCATGACAGGAGTGATCCCGGAGCACAGAGCCGGGAGCCAGCTCTGAGTAGCCCCTCCAATAACAACAAATTCTCCCGTTCAGAGTTGGGGCTCACTCCCAGTAACGTGGGGGTGGGGCGGGGATGGAATCAGGGGTCCCACAGGCCAAGTCGGACTCTTCTGCTCTTTTGTGCTTTTTTTTCTTTTTGGGTCACACCTGGCGATGCACAGGGGTTCCTCCTGGCTCTGCACTCAGGCATCACTCCTGGCGTTGCTCGGGGGATCCTAGGGGATGCTGGGAATCGAACCCAGGTTGGCCGTATACAAGGCAAACGCCCTCCCCGCTGTCCTACTACTCCAGCCCCTCTTCTGCTCTTTTGACTCAGCACCCTGGGGTCAGCTGGTCATAGGGGGCTTCACCTGCTCAATGATCCCCGAATCACTGGTTCCTCAATGGACGCGGGAAGAAATTTTCCCCGTCGGAACCGGCGACCCGATCTCCCTGCCCAATCCAGGCGTCTGGGCAGCACACGGCAAACATGGACGGGGAGGGCAAAGCTTCAAAAAAGCAAGAGGCGGCAGCGAGCGGCACGTGGTGGGGGCCGTGGGGGGGGTGTTGGCACACGCCCCCCGCCCCCTCCAACTTACCGACAGTGCAGACTTTCTTGAAGTCCGGACAGCACTCCATGTAGTGTTGGCAATTATAGTCACAGTTGCAGGGGGCGTCTCTAGAGTACCCTTCCCCACATCTCCCTGCACAGCTTGACAAATCTAGAAGCACACAACAGCGGCGTGAATATGGCCAGACCCTTCCCGGGGGGGTGGACGTGAGGCTGAGCCCCAGCTCCTGGGCGGGTTTCTTAGGGGCTTCCCTGAGCAAGTCTTTCCGCTCTGACACTGGTTTACAACTTCTTTCTTTCTTTCTTTTTTTTTTTTTTTTTTTTTCCTTTTGGGTCACACCTGGAGATGCTCAGGGCTAACTCCTGGCTCTGCACTCAGGAATCACTCCTGGCGGAGCTCGGGGGACCCTATGGGATGCTGGGAATTGAAACCTGGTTGGCTGTGTGCAAGGCAAACGCCCTACCTGCTATGCTATTGCTCCAGCCCCTCTTCTTTCTTTCTTTCTTTCTTTCTTTCTTTCTTTCTTTCTTTCTTGCTTTTTGGGTCACACCTGGAGAATGCTCAGGGCTAATTCCTGGCTTTGCACTCAGGAATCACTCCTGGGGGTACTCAGGGGACCCTATGAGGTTTTGGGGACCTCATTCATTTATTTATTTTGGGGGGCACACCTGGAGATGCTCAAGGCTGACTCCTGGCTCTGCACTCAGGACTCACTGTTGGCGGTGCTCGGGGGACCCTAGGGGATGCTGGGAATCGAACTCAGGTCGGCCGTGTGCAAGGCAAACGCCCTACCCGCTGTGCTATTGCTCCAGCCCTGGTTTAAGACTTCTGAGAGTCAGGTGATACATGGTGGCTTGGCCCCTCTTGGGGGGGAGCAGGAAGAGAGGCAACAGGACCCTCCCCACCCCCCAACCCGGGCATGTCATCTCTGGATGGAGCACGGAGCTATTTTTCCTCTTTGGGGCACAGGCAAAGACAGGAGCTATGTTCTGGGGGAACATAGCTCAGCCCGGACTCAGAAATCAGGAGTCTGAAAGGGAGTCGTTGGCATTCCACTCGCTCCCAGCTAACGGGCTCCCGTTAGTGAGGCATATCTGTCAGACGGCATAGCCACAGAAAGGCCAGCGAGGACCTCCTGGCATTGATGCCGAGGGCTCCGCTCTGACAGAAAACTAAAGCGTCAGACTCAGCAAATGCAGCTCAGACGCCTCGACACAGTTTGGTCCCTTCCTGGGGGTGAGTTTGGAACGAGCTGGTGGTACCAGGTTTGCTTTGGCTCCTACCCCTATCTGACAAAAGTGACTGCTAATTAATTCATCAATTAACAATTAATCAATTCTCTTTATTTTTTTTTTCTTTTTCAGAATCGTGGATGGGGCAACTCTGGTTCAACAGAACCAAACGGTCGTGACCATCTAACTCTAGGTTGAGAAAATCGTAGCCAACAGGTGGATCCCAGCCACACGCCCCGTCCCTTCCAAGTCTTCAGGGGGAGTGGGGATTGGCTAGGTGCTCTGTACACGTCCACAGAGGATGTTGAGACACACGGGGAAAACTCAGGAGAGGGGCCCAGGAAAGTTACGGGGTTTAATAGGCAAACAAACCAGAGATCCTGAGATCCTTTGGCAAACACGCGTGCACAATACGTACAAATGCATATATAGTGTATGTATATCAATACATATATTATATATAGAGAAAATAAGTGGGCATGGGATAAGAAGGCAAGGAAAGCAGACAAGACCACATCCAAGGTTATTCTTGGACAATTAGCACGTTCCTGAGCCCGGAAGCCAGCCAGCCACCATTGCAGGAAGCGTTCCTTTTCACAGAGCAGACATCTGCCCTTGACGGCAACGGATTTGAGCAACTAACATACAACTTCTGAAATGCAAATCAAACCTGCTGTCATAGACCCCTACCTGGCAGACCCCAGACGTAAAACTACACCAGGAAGTTGGCTGAGGGCTAACGGCCCTCGCAATGGTGTGAGGAGACGTACCAGGGAAAGTCATTTCTTGCTAAATATCTACGCTCACTGCCTTGTCTTTTTTCCATCATTCCTTATCAGAGTGATTCTGAAACTGTGTTCAGGATCGAGTGATGTCTTGTGCTCAAGTCTCAAGAAGGTTTTTTTTCTAAACTATAGATGAATTTTATTGCTGGTTTTAACAGTCACTACATTTTTCAGCAGATTTTCCTTATAAATAATATGAAATATGTCTTAAAGGGTAATTTATATGCAAATATATGAATATTAATATCACATGATTGCAAAGCTATTAGATACTGCTCTTAAGACTACAGGAAAAACTAATTTTTCCCTTAAATTTTTATTAGTGAAACACCACGAGGTACAGTTGTAGACTTACAAACTTTTGTGCTTGTGTTTCAATTATACAATGATCGAATACCCATCCCCCCGCCAGTGCCCATTCTCCACCACCACCAGTCCCCGTATCCCTCCCACCCCCCTTCCCCCCATCCCACCCTACCACTGTGGCAGGGGATTCCCTTTCGTTCTCTCTCTCCTTTTGAGTGCTGTGGTTTGCAAAAGAGACATTGCAAGTCTCAAGAAGTTTTAATTCTCTTGCTAGAAATGTCCTAAATATCATTTCAGAGGAGAATCCTGCACCTTGACTTTAATTTATTTATTTGCTTTTTGGGTCACACCTGGTGATGCTCAGGGCTGACTCGTGGCTCTGCACTCAGGAATCACTCCTGGCGGTGCTCGGGGGACCCTAGGGGATGCTGGGAATCGAACCCAGGTCAGCCGCATGCAAGGCAAACGCCCTACCTGCTGTGCTATCACTCCAGCCCCCCAAATAATTCTTGTTAGAAAGAGAGCTCCTGTCAGAGATACAAAGTGTCTTTTGCAAGCGTTATCAGACTCGGTAGAACATGATATCAATGCCAAAATGACTTCTTAATGCCAAAATAAATTATTTACTTGATGTTCTTATAAATATGTTTCATGTAAACAGAAAAATCATAAAAGATTTAGAAACTGTGAAATTGCTCTTTTCAACTCCTCTGAATATTATTGTAATATTGTATCACAGCATAGTTGTATCTTGTCTGGTTTGGGTTTGTTTGGGTTTGGTTTTGGGTCACACCCAGGGGTTAATGCTCAGGGCTGACTCCTGGCCCTGCACTCAGGGATAACTCCTGGCAGCCTCAGGGGACCCTACGGGATGCCGGGGATCGAATCCAGGTCGGCTACATGCCAGGCAAGTGCCCTCCCCGCTGTGTGAAAAATCATTTCACAATTGGCAATGCACAATTCTATGACAGTCATAAGAATGTACAAGTATAATGTTGAGTATCTTTATTTCTAGAATTAAATGATTATTAAACTAAAAGTCTAAGGGTGTCATTAACAAAAATATACAGATAATTACACTAGAACCATGATGCACATTATTATATTTGTGGTCAGTTGTTTTTCAACGGCTTTCAGAGCACAAAATTATTCTGTGGAAAAGCTCAAACTCTCTCGAGACATCTTATAGTGCATGAGATAGAAGTGAAAAAAATGGCAAAAGGTCCTAATTAAATGCTATATACTGCATAATTCTCAGGTCCTACCTTGAGCTCAAAACTCAAAGCCATGTGACTTTTATAAACCTCTCTCTCCCTTGTTCTCTCTCTCTCTCTCTCTCTCTCTCGATTCCAAGTCAGGAGCAAGTGCCCAGCTAGTGGCGAGCGGGCAGTGTTTCGGGGGGGTGTCGTTACCTTGGGAAGCAGCTTGTTGAATCCAGAAGAGAGAAATGAGTAGCAGCAAACACGCAGGAAGCATTTTCCAATCCATGGCGTTCTCGGGCTCGAAGTCTTGGCTGAAAAGCAGAGCAGAGAATCAGTAACCCCCTCTTGGATTTCACAGCCCCCTTATGTCCGTGTGTAACCAGCTGCCAGCAACTTCCAAAATGCTAAAAAAAAAAAAGCCATTCTTGAAGCAAGATTTATTCCATAGAGAATATTTGCCCAGTGGATTTAAGCTCATGAAGAGAAACTCCCAACACCACCTGGTGTTGACTGTTTCAATACTGGAGAATCTCACTATGCCCCAGTAAAACACCAGATTTGTCTAAAAAGCTCTATTCTCATGTTACTTACAGAGCAAGGATTAAAAATCCCATTTTAGAAAAAAAATGAGTTTCAATACAATTTAACTAAATTGTTGCAATTCCCCCTTACCTCTCTCATAATGGGATACAGTCAAATTTAAATTGTTGCTACAATTTCCCTTTAACTCTCTCACAATGGGGTACAGTCACATTTAACTAAATGATTGCTACAATGTCCCCTTAACTCTCTCAGAATGGGATACAGTAACATTTAAATTGTTGCTATAATTTCCCCCTTTTAATTCTCTCATAATGGGATATAGTAACATTTAAATTGTTGCTACAATTTCCCCTCGACTCTCTCATAATGCAGTAAAATGTTGCTGCAGTAGAGTAAAATTTAACTAAATTGTTGCTACAATTTCCCCTTAACAATCTCATAACGGGCACTGAGCAAGATGATCATTTTCAAACCCTTCTAACTACTATCCTCATAAATTCTTCAAGCACCTTAAGAAAGTCTATCCCCAATGAGCTGAAACACACACACACACACACACACACACACACACACACACACACACATTTTCAGGAAGCAAATGAACATTGAACCTTACCAGTAGATGGAGAGTGAGTTTCTCCAATGTTCTGGACGTCTTATATATCAGAGCAAATCTATGAGGATGGACCAATTAGTCCAAAGGTCAGACAAAATCAACAGTGACAACCTATGAAATCAAACTTTCCTCATGTATTGGGTGCGAGCCCAGACAGTCAGACTTAGGCAACATCTGGAAAACACTTCAATTAAGAAAAGTGACTACTACAAAATAAATTTGGATTTATTGGCCCAAACACCCCCTTCTAGCTTCTGAAGTGAACAAACTGTCCTGGCAGGGGAGGGTTCTGGAAGACTCCGCCAGGGTGCTTAACAGGAACCTTAAAATAGTCGAAGGCTGGTTGGTATCTCTGCCTTTCACCCTCGTGAAATCTGGCCAAGAGAGATGCTAAAATATACCTCGTGTTTGTGGCATGAATTTTCTGAACTCGGTAGAATGCACAATTAAACATGTGCATCCTCTTGAGTGACTTCCTTCTCGCCAAAGGTGGAAAGGGCATTCCTAATTGCCTGCAGGGGCATGGATCTATGTTGTGCGTTCATGGGATCAGGTGCTTGAAATTAGTCTTGATTAATTCCTCACATCCCCTGTACTTAAACCCAAAGTGTTTGGAAAAGGTTTTTCAGCACCGGGCACGCTTGTCGGAGAGAAAATGTTCCCGGTCAACCTGTTCAGCCAACTTCTACCTGGTATGTCATGGACTATCTGCTCAAACCCACCTATTCACGGGAGACCAAGCAGGACCGTGAGCCCCTCCCAGGTAAATCCGAACTCAACGGAGGGAACGGATGGGAGTGGCATGGTCTGTTTGTTCCCCCACTTGTACCCCCAACACTCTTTTCCCTCTCCACCCCACCCCCAGGTTCTATTCTTTATTTTAAATTATTATTGAATCCCTGTGAGCTACAGTTACAAGCTTTCACGTTTGAGTTTCAGTCATACAGTGATCGAACCCCCATCCGTCCACCAGTGCCCATTCCCCACCACCAAGGTCCCCAGTATCCCCCCTTCCCACCCTCCCCCTGTCTCCATGGCAGACAATCTCCCCCAGACTCTCTCTCCACTTTGGGGCATCCTGGTTTGCAATGCAGAGACCGAGAGGCCGTCACATTGGGTCCTTGATCTACTCTCAGCACACGTCTCCCATCCCGAGCGACCCCTCCAGCCATCACTGACTCAGTGACCCTTTCTATCTTCCAGCTGCCAGGTCCTGCTCTTGATCTAGCTTCGGACTCAATATTTCCCAAGCACGGTGACAACACACACGCCTTGACCCTAACTAACCCTTGTACTAACTTCTCCGCATACATTTAAGCCATCACGAAACGCCTTCAAGTGAACTACCATCTCCACATGATCACGTAGGGGAAGCCCTCCCCCTCCCCCGCCCCAAGGAGGAATCTAGGGGGTACCTACTTAGCAGGAAAAGAATCAGTACCACAATTTGAATTCACGTCTCATCCTGTAAGTTTTGTTTAACTTGGGGGGTGGAGAAATAGCACAGCGGGTAGGGCGTTTGCCTTGCCCATAGCTGGCCTGGATCTGACCTGGTGCCCTGTATGGTGGGATGAGCCCAGAGCACAGCTGTGTGTGGTCCCAAATCAACCCCAAGAAATAAACAAACAAGAAAGCTTTGTGCCTTTCCACTCTGTCTCTCTGAGAGCGATGCTCTTGGTCCTGTACTGGCTCACGGAACTAGGTTTTACTGGAGTGTGTGTGAGTGTGTGTGTGTGTGTGCTTGTGGATTCTGAGATTGTGACCTTTGTAAAGACAGAAATTAGAGTCTAGCCTTGTCCTGCAATTCAGAGGCATCTGGATACCTCTGAGTAACCACTCTGGGGCTGGAGCGATAGCACAGTGGGGAGGGCGTTTGCCTTGCACGTGGCCAACCCAGGTTCGATCCCCGGCATCCCATAGGGTCCCTCGAGCACCGCCAGGAGGGATTCCTGAGTGTAGTCAGGAGTCAGCCCCGAGCATCGCCGGGGGTGGCCCCCAAAGAAAAATAAGTAGCCCATCCTCAGGACCCTTTCCCTTCCCACCACTCCTGTGTGTCTTGCTTTTTGTCAGTTTTCCAAGCCTAGACTTTGGAACCAAGAATAAGTGCTGCTAGGCAGAGTAGCCCACCCACTCAAGAACGTCACTTGCCACCGTGAGTTTCTCTGGCTCTGTCAATGAGAGTCTGAGTCGGGACTGAACTGAACTGGACCAAACATTTCCCCGTTCTGGAAGTTTGGAACTGAGAGCTGAGGATGCCTGTAACCGAGGTCTAAGAAAGAGAGGGACAGATGGGCAGTGTATTCATATACAGAGAGGCAGAGAATGTTCTAGGGCTTTCTAGGTCCTGGTTCTTGTCTATTCTCAACATCCTCATCTTCCTTCCTTCCTTCCTTCCTTCCTTCCTTCCTTCCTTCCATCCTTCCTTCCATCCTTCCATCCTCCCTTCCTTGCTTCCTCCCTCCCTCTTCTTTCTTCTCTTCTCACTTCTCTTCTCCTTTCTTTCTCTTTCTTTATTTCTCCTTCCTTCCTTCCTTCCTTCTTTTCTTCTTTTTTCTCTTTCTTTCTTTCTTTCTTTCTTTCTTTCTTTCTTTCTTTCTTTCTTTCTTTCTTTCTATTTCTCCTTCCTTCCTTCTTTCCTTTTTTCTTTCTTTCTCCTCTCCCTTCCTCTTCCTCCTCCTCTTCTTCTTCCTTTTCTCCTCTTCCTCCACCTTCTTCTTCCATACCTGGCAATACTCAGGGATTACTCCTGGCTCTGTGCTCAGGAACCCTATAGAATGCCACGGATCGAACCATATGCAAGACAGACAAATGCCCTCCAACTCCAGCTCTTCATACTGTTTCTTTAAGACAGATGCACCTTTGGGGGCCACCATTGCCTTAAGAAATGCTTTCTGGGTAAATAATTTCTCCCACCCACCCCTGGACTGTCTTCATATCCTGGTCATTCCCTTTGAAGGGCAGAAGCTTCTGAATTTAACATTGTCCCATTTGTTTATCTTTGCTTTTGCTTTCTTGGTCAGTGGCGTTTTATCCTTAAAGACACCTTTAAATGTCAATGTCATGGAGAGTTCTGCCTGCTTTTTCCTCTATTAATATTTATTTTAATTAATTAATTTATTAGTGAAACACCATGAGGTATAGTTATAGACTTACAAATTTTTGTGCTTGGGTTTCAGTTATACAATGATCAAATACCCATCCCTCCACCAGTGCCCATTTTCCACCACCACGGGTTAGCATTTATTTTAAAATGCCGAGAGGTGCTGGAGCAATAGCACAGCGGGTAGGGTGTTTGCCTTGCACGTGGCCAACCTGAGTTCAATCCTCGGCATCCCCTAGGGTCCCCCGAGTACCGCCAGGAGTGATTCCTGAGTGCAGAGCCAGGAGTCCAGCCCTGAGCATCCCCGGGTGGGACCCAAAAAGAAAAAAAAAAGGCTGAGAAAACTAAGAAGTTCAGCTACAGAGAGACACACAGACATGGACTCTTACAGTGACCATGTTTTCTTTTCCTCACCTCTCAGGATTATCTGTCCTCTTCATTCTTTGGGTCATGTAATGGTGACACATGGCACTCATCAATTGATCGACTAATCTGTTCTAATAACATTCCTGCTCAACTTCAAGTTCTAGGCTTGGAAAGAGGACAAGCACAACACACACCCTATTACAGTCAATAATTCATGATTTTTTAATTTGGGGGCCACACCCGTGATGCTCAGGGGTTACTCCAGGCTCTGCACTCAGGGATCACTCCTGGAGAAGTTCGGGGGTCTCCCTGTGGGGTGCCGGGGATTGAACCCGGGTCAGCCACATGCCAGGCAAGTGTCCTATCTGCTGTGCTATTGCCCCAGCCAAAAATAATTTTAAACCTCTCCACGAACACATTCCTCTTGTCATAAAATGTTTTTTTCGCTGCCTAATCGGGATGGAGAAAGTAAGAGACTCCCAACTCATGGCACTGAGTTTCCATAGAACCGACTGACTTCAGGTCTCTGGGTAGCGAGGCTGGTCTGGGTGAATTTATCCACTAAATGCATCTTTAGGAACTTCGGTGAGAAGTTCACGCCGTAAATACTCAGCTATTGGCACCCCCAGGACGAGGCAGGCTCCTGATCCAGCTCTAGGCCCTCTGAATCATTTCTTTGCTCACTAAGGATTTTTTGGTTTGGTTTTGAATCACTCCCGATAGTGCTCAGGGCTGACTCCCGACTCTGTGCTCAGGGCTGACTCCCAGCTCTGCGCTCGGGGCTGACTCCCGGCTCTGTGCTCAGGGCTGACTCCCGACTCTGTGCTCGGGGCTGACTCCCAGCTCTGTGCTCGGGGCTGACTCCCGGCTCTGCGCTCGGGGCTGACTCCCGACTCTGTGCTCAGGGCTGACTCCCGACTCTGTGCTCAGGGCTGACTCCCAGCTCTGTGCTCAGGGCTGACTCCCAGCTCTGCGCTCGGGGCTGACTCCTGGCTCTGTGCTCGGGGCTGACTCCTGGCAGACTTGGGGGACTAAGGACCAAACCCAGATCAGCCGCCTGAAAGGTAAGCACATTACCTATTGTACTATGTCTCTGGCCCCTAAAAATGTTTCTTCATGTCCAATTAATTAGCTCTCACTTACTCAGGCTAAAAGTGAGTTTGGGTTTGGGGTTGGGGGATGAGGGAATCAGAGGAAGTGAGACAACGGGACCCTGAGCAGCCCTGGACCCACACTGGGCTGCAGGGCAGATGGTCACACTCTCCATCACACAAACACCCATTTCTGAGCTTCTGCTGGACCCAGGGATATCGTCAGAGAGAACTAGAGAGTGTGTGTGTGTGTGTGTATGTGTGCTGTGTGTGCATGTGTGCACGTGTTTGCATGTACGTGCATGTGTGTGCACATGTGTGCGTGTGCGTGTGTGTGTGTGTGTATTTTCTCTGCATTAGACACTCTCCAGAGACGCCTTTCTCTGTGCGAGGCCCCACGCACCTCCTGCAGATGGAGGCTGACGCACCCCAGACCAGCTGGGATCTGGTACACGGGATCT